GGAATTTTGCTTTATTTCTTGGGATTTTTAAGTCATTTTAAAAAGTATACTTAAATAACAACTAAATGAACTTTAAATGCAGCTGAACACTATACTCCATTTGAATAACTTCTGAGTAGGGGAAACAAGGTCACTAGATTTACAGAGGTATCTACTAGCTACTGTAAAAAGTTTTCTTTGTTACGCGTTGTGCTGCCCTCTGTTAACGGATGGTATTAACATATCGGAATACCGAAGTCGAAATCGTATAAGTAGTGACATCTATTAAAGAAAAGCCAAACGACGAAAACAAAGATGACCACCGGTCGCTGAATTACAAGTGGAAGTGGATCTTATTTGTGGAAGGGCGAAACGGGCTGTGACTATGAGACGCCTTCGTTATAGCCATCCTTCTCCTACTTTGTCATTTTATTCTTATAGTCTTTGGGTTTGACCACAGAGTACTTTATTTTGCGCTATAAGTACCTACCTTTATCAACTGATGCTCTAGATCTGAACGTAAACCCGCAACAATTCATAACGATTTCAAGTATATTTGAAATATTTGATTAATAGTGTTTTAAAATTTAGTTAAACGAATACAATACTAGTGAATTACATTTTACTTGAAAATTGGTCCGATTATTTATACGGAGTTGACGTTCGATCGCGTATCGAGATAGCTCTGCCATGTTCCAGCAAATCAAACCGCATCTTTCTAGGCCGAGAAATAAAAAACTTACGGGCTGTTCGCTGGTTTAAAAAATTGTGTATAGGACACGTGACTGCAGACGTGACCTCACAAAACCTCTAATGTCCATTGGGAACCATCATTGAATGTTTAAAATATCTGCGGGACGATTATTAAAACATCCCGGTACAAAATAAAACGGCTGTCGAAGGACCGAAATTCCAAGCACGGACAAACAAGGTTTCCTCGTCCGTAGTGTGTTCATGTTCTTAAGTGTTTCAATGTTGGGAATGTGACAAAAAAAGGTCAAAATAATGTTTGAATTACTATTTATTTACAAGATATAATTACATGGTGGTTCTAGTAGTGTTTATTTTTACCGAACACCTCCTCAATGTAATCTAAATAATATAGGTCCACTTTTTATTGAAATACATATCAAGCATCTAAAAATAATTAATTTTAACATAATTGTGTCCTTGGCATGCAAAACCAAATGAGCTGCGTAGTGAAATAATAAAACTGATATAGCTAGAGAAAAAAAAAACGAAAATTATATACATCTTAAAAATGGTTAAAAACGAATCGAGCGGAGATGTCAGGTAAACCCACTTTCTACAAATAAAACGATAAACTGCAATAAAATTTAATCTCCAGATTCTTCTTCTTCTAAAATAATCTTGAAGCTAAACGGTTGGAAAGCGTACCCGAGGCCGACATAGAACTTGCTCATGAACTCCACCCAGTGCAGACGGAGGGTGTGCAAAAATGCCGACAACCCTTCCATCAGCACCAGAATAGCCACCGTGAAAATCGCCCATGCCCCGAAAAACACGAATATGAACGCAACTCCGATGTAACCTTCGTTCGTCAGTCCCAAGTTGAATAACATGCTCCACAGTACTTCTGACAGCTCTGAAAAGAAGTTTTCAATTAACGTTTGTTTATTTGCACAGGTATCCTACAGAAAAGTGCACAAACTTTAAGGGAAATTGGATAAAAATAAGTTAAAGATGCACCAATCCGCTAGAATGAATAAGACGTAGAGGTTTAGGATTGCGGTCTTTTCCTTCCCGTGTTAACAGTGCATTAGTGGGCGGAGCTATCTCAGATGCAAACCTATTTCGTTTTCTTTTACAATACCTACCAAATTATTATTTTTTTAAAAGAATTTTAATGTTCACACAAAATATAAATTAATAACATTCTTCTGTCTTTCGTCGGATCAGTCGCATCTGTATTTAAACTTGTTTTGCCGTTGCGTAGCTTCGAAGTCGGAACACCAGACTTCCGATACTCGAATCTCGCGGATCGAATTTAAATCCAAAAGTCAAGATCGTGTGTTACTTCCTTTTTTTTATTTATTTCTGTTATAACAGTGTTAAAAATCAAAGGTCACACTAGCTGCTACCGTTTTTTTCTCCGGTAGCAGCTGCTGAGGGTTCCCCTACAACTATAATTCCTTCTACAGCCCAAACTATCGAGCCGTACCACAGCTGGCCTCAGTCTATTACACAGCCATACAAAAAAAGTAGTGTCCTTTTCATGCGACATAAGTTATCCGCAGTATTTTTGCTTCCTGACCACGAATCCGGTGTCAAAATTTTGCTATCACATAACAGGAATTTCCTAACCTCAAAAAACAGGTCAAAAATAGCAAAAATTCACGAAAAATTGCTAGGATAAACACAAAAATTGTTTTTTTCTATATTCAAACGTGAATCCGCGGGCAAAATTGATGGTTCTTTTTCCAACCTCAAAAAAAAAACGGGTCAATTAAGGTCAGATATCAGGAATTTTAAAAAATAACAGTTACGCGCCAAAATTTGTATCCCGGGGTTTTCGGGGTCGCTGATCACGGATCAGAGGTTAATTTTACAAAATTCAAGATGGCGGATCTCAGATGGCCGACCTAATTTTCAAAAAATAACACATTAGCGCCAAATTTGGTATACGGGGGTTTTCGGGGTCGCTGATCACGACTCCGAGGTCATTTTTGCAAAATTCAAGATGGCGGATCCAAGAAGGCCGAATAAATTTTCAAAGGATAAGGTTCGGTGCGAATTCGCACTAGTGTGACTTTACTGTGGGCCAAAATGTGGCTGGATAGAAATAATTGAATTGAAATGCAAATTTCCGATTTTTTTTCACCTCATTATACGTGTCGAATAGAGTAGAATATTGTTTATTTAGTTATTGTTAATAATTTGCACATTTAACTTTTTTTTTTCATTAATAATTTAATTGTAACACGTATTTGTCAATATTTATGGATAATATGTTTAAATTAATATTTTTATACAAAAGAGTGCAAAATAAACATCAATTTACAGAGAGGGAGCCAAAAATAACAACTTAAAAAAATTCCTATATCGAGAATACCGAGAAAAATCGATATAATATAATTTTCTTAAAAATATAGACTTTGAACTTCAAAACCCTTTTTTTACTTTTTCTTTAGCCATTATTTATAAAAAAAAATACGAATTTAAAACAAAAAATAATTTTCCGAAAAAAATTTTTGTAATCGCATTTTTTATTAACAAATTTATTTTTTTTTGAAAACTAATTACATCTTTCGATTTCTCAGAAAATGTTCCCCAGTTTTGATATAAATACGTTGTTTTCGTTAACAAATAAAGAAAAGTTTCAAATTTGGCGAAATCCCAATCCGCACTAGTGTGACCTATAAGCTGTCTCAGCCCAAGTGTGACCTTTGAGGGTTAAACTGTACATAAATACCCGCGCGTTCTCATTTTCAAGATTACGCTAATAAATTTCAAAAGTACAGTGTATTGAACGAGGAAGACCAATAGCACGGCCACCGCTATCTCCGGACCTAAACCCTCTCGATTTTTTTACGGGACATTCGAAATGTGTACCGTACTGAGGTGGAAGTCACTTAAGATTTACGTGAACGCATTACAGCGACTGGAATGCATTGAAATCCATGTATTTTCTCGACAACAACGAAAAATAAGTAAAAATCTAGATATTAAAAGAAATACAAAAGGTATCCAAGTTCAATTAACTTACGTGCGTGAGCGAGGGACAGAGCCCACAGACGCAAATAAGACGCCGTATGGGATATCGTACTGAGAGTGTATTCGATGGTGTGAATGGCCTGGTGGATGAACACTTCACTAATAGGCTCTTCCTCTTCCTCCTCCTCCTCTTCGTGATGTTTCGAACCGTTGGCCTCCGGATGGTTCTCCACCTCATCCATTTCCATACCTTGGTTGATATCGCCATTGGTCTTATTCTAAAAAAAACACTTTTCTGAATCTCCCTTCACACACCCAGAGACTAACAGTTACCTACCTTCAGCGTCTTGGACTTCGCATGTTTGTCTTTGGTCATCATGACGTAGAGGGGTTTCCCCAGCAGCATGATTGGGACGCAAATAAGCGCCGCAACGACAAGAACCATCTGCACCAACTTCTGTCCTTCGTACATGTACGCCTCGCAGCCCTGATTCGGGTCGCTCTCTCCCATGAGGAACATGTTTATGAAGTAGATGAGGACGGATGGCGCGCAAGACGTGCCGTGTTGATCGACGACAAGCTCATCTGGAAATCGCAGAAGTTAATCGGTATCGGGAATGGCAGAAGACGTACGGAAATACTCACCCCAACCGTCCAGTTCTCCGGAATACATGACCCACTTCATGAATATCATGATGACTAGGTAAAAGAACAGGAAGACCAGGAATAGAAGTTGTGGAAGGAACTCCAAAAATATGCTCGAATATTTCTTGAAATGTCTGGAAACGTTTCAGTAGTAAGGATTAATCGAGACACATTCAGTGTTTGATAAAAAATGCAGATACCATCAAAATAGTGTTGCAAATCTCATATTTTTATATGAAAAAGGTTTGTGCTTTATACAGGGCGATATTAAATTGAAGAAGGCAATCACAGCCTTCCATAGTTGTAAAATAATTCAATCCGGGCTTTGCAAACAATTGAAATGAATTGATATTGAAAATAAACGGTACAGAAACCTAATGAATTTCGACCGTAACTTTTGGTTAAATAAATTCGCTTACAATGTACCGCGTTTATGACAAAAATGGATTCATTGACACGTTATTCATTTACGGAGTGTCGTCAAAACGCCAATACTGCATCTCGGCTATAGCGGAACGTTTTCCCTTATGGGTTCACCCGGATTATTTGGGTTGTGCAAAGCGGTAAAGACATCACTGATTTGCGGAAACAATTAGAAGACACGCAGACTCAACAACAAATACACTCGGGAAATTGAACTGAAATTTAAAGTTAACTGTGGATGTTTATGGTTACAAAAAATGTATCACCCTGTAGATTATTCACTCTCTCAATCATTTGAGATGCGTCGAGTTCGAACGGATTATATTAGTAAAATTTCGTTCAAATTCATTACTTTTTTTAATGCGACTCAGAAATCATCTTTGGAATTTTGTTTCTTCAACACCCTGTGTAGCTTGCAGCATTATTTTAATGTCACCGTATACTCCAGTCGAATTAGATGTGAAAAAATTATTAGTAGTCATTGTATTGCACTTGAATGTTCAAAATTCGGTTCAAAAACCTCGCGTGCGCCAAGGGCAGCGCTCACGCGCGTGCCCGGGCCCGGTGCTCCTTCTCGCGCGTGCAGATCGTTAATTAACGTTAACTTTTACTGCTGCTAGCGCGTTTATTATATGAACCATCAATGTCTCCTTCTTTAATTACGCAATAAATTGTCGTTTTCGATATCTTACAATTAGTTAATTCGCTAATCCGTTTCCTAATTTCTTTATCACCAAACTTATTATAGAATACCATGCAAAAAATGATTTACGACCTAGTAGGCTAATACAGGTTTGCTTTGACGACCAGCGCGCCGCCTTCGATTCTACATCAGGCGGAGTGGTCTGCCAATACCGGACTCGCCCAATGGCTATTCGAGTATAAATTACGAAACAGATCATGGCTAAAGCATAGGATGAAATTTCAAGAGAAGTGCGGACGGTCCTGTGCTTTAATAATCACAGGATCCAATAGATATCGTAATTAAAAAAAGTTATCTTGGGAATAAAGAGGCGTAGGGGATTTCTCTTTTTTTAATTACCGTAAAAATAAGCTCTTTTTAATGCAAAAAGAGCGAATTGCCGAGCAGCTTTTGGCTGACCCTGGGACAATTAAAGTTTAGTAATTAAACAATTAGTTGTAAAACAAATGAAATTAATTAACAAATAGTTAGAGCAACAATTTCACGGTCAATTGAATTGGCACATATGTTGGTCTTTGGATTGACCGTCTCTTCCATAAATTTCATCAGCATCCATCGCTTTTTGCAATGTGGAGTTTTCGAAAACTGATTTTTCCGTGTTCAGCCTTTATTTTACAGTCAACAAATTGGTGGAAAATTACTTTAGACACCTCAAATTGTAGGTAATTTAATTGCCTACAATATAAAATGACTAATTTTCCGATAGGTCGTCTAGATTTTCGTGGGCAGTAAAAAAAGTGAAACACGTAAATTTGCCAACTTAGCGTCACTTCTTTCGAGTTACTTTTTTGATATTATTAGACGTAAAATGTCTACTAATAATTTTCGACTCGAGTAGTACCTGAAAAAAAAAATTACTCACACGAAATTGACGGTGCTCATACATACTCCGAAAATCATATGGGCTATTCCGACGATTATCGACAATTTCATTTTGAAAGAGTTCAAAAAAATGATTTTGTTGCTGGCCATCTACAAAAAACGTTTTTTTTAAACATCTGAAAAGCAAAAAAACATGAAGATTTACCTGCCATACGGGATCCATTCCCATGAAATAGGGAGTACCGTAATAGTTGGCTTTGGGGAGAAATTCGTGTTCCTCCTCGTCTTCAGGATAGAACCTTGACGTATTGACGTACCACTGCGTCTGGAATATGTTCATGGATTTGGAGAATATGTCATTGTATATAAAACCCGTGTAAAAGGAAAACAAGCCCATGAGGAATATAATGTATCTGCCGGCAAAGAATATGTTGAAAATTTCGTTCTTACTTTTCATAGCTACGATTTTTTTTTCCGACAGAATCATCCACGTGCCAAATACGGCCATGATGATGGCATGGCCGCAATCGCCGAACATTACGGCGAATAGGAAGGGGAACGTTATGATCGTGTAGAGGCCTGAAAAGAAATCGTACACTTGCAAATTTGAATCTCAGTGTGACGTACAGCATAGCCCGTCGGCCTAAGAGTGTCTTGCGACCAAACAAATTTGGAAAGAATAGAGTAATATTGTTTACAATTGCTGAAATATTGAAGAGTCATGAAAAATATACGGATTCCTAAAACAGAAATCCAGTAAATCCAGTAGGCTATCCTGTATGTCACGTATTTTATTTGTATATATATATTTTTTTTCAAAATAAGCACTATGCTACACACTGCTGCAAAAATAATAGATATTTATGATAATTGACAATATTCAGCGCAATTATATTTCAACGTATGTATCGGGATAATTTCCATTTAATATTTTTTTTATTCACCTTGCATATCTCCAAAATTCTCCCAAGATTTGAATTTCGCGCCATTTGAGCGGCAAAGTGTTGCCAACGAGCAAAAAAGGCCGGGTTGCCGGTTGCCGTTTTGGGTTTTTATAATTGGGGGATTCCCCATTATTGCGAGTTTGGCAGCTACAGTTCGCGATTTTCGTACAAAATATGGTAGGAATGGTAACTATACACCAAGGCGGATCTGTTTTGAGGTTGAAGTGAGCAATTTTTTTCTGGATTAGCTTCAGTACAACTCACATAATAAAAGTGTAGATCCCTAGATCTGGGCGAGGTCCGGAACATGTTCAAAATTGCAAAATTGTTTAAAAAATTAAAAAAAATACCTATTTTATCCGAGTTTTTTTGCATATATCTTGGAACCTATGCATTTTGGAAGAATATTGAAGAGGAAAAAAAGTTTTAGAATTGAATACTGCACAATATACTGTATGTTAAAATTGTTAAAATTTATTACCGATGTTGCTAAATTGCAATAATTGATGAAAACAAGGCAAAATAATCAAGTTTTCTGGATATTTTTTTTAATTTTTTATTTGCTTCGAGGGCATTTTAATTTTCGCAAAAAAATACTTTAGAGTATAATAAAACAACACACCAAATTTCATTAAATTCGGTTTGATAGTTTTCACAAAAAAATTTTTTGAAAAAAAATTTGAAAAAAATTTTTGAATTTTCAAAATGTTGCACAGCTTCAAATAAAGTATCTAGATACTTGAAAAGACCGCTCAACCTTTCAAATGGTTTTTGAAAAATTGAAATCGGTTGATTAGGACAGCCACAGTAAATTTTTCTTATTTTTAAAATAGGTATATAGATTGCATTTATCAAATTGCAATTTACTTTTTTAAAAAATTATAATTTTAAAGTTCTATTTTTACTTAATTTTATCTGCGTTTAACAAAAAAATTAATTTCCAAAAAAAAAAATTATTTTTTTAAATTTGTTTAAACACAAACTATTTAAATAATTGTAATGATTATAACTTAACACATTCATATTCAGAGGGTTGAAATATATACGTAAACTTATTTTTTCATTGAAAAAATGCAATAGTATAGGGTAAAATATACAGTATATTTAATGCATAAATAATAAACTTTGTTGTAATCTAATTGTTTAAAAATAAAAAAAAAGAGTTTGTTGTCAATAGTGGGAAAATTAGAGGCCAAATTTCAAGAAAAACAGCAAATTTTCTCAATTGTCGACGTTTCGTCACTTATCGTGACATCCTCAGAACACTATAAAATTTAATAATTTCAAAATTACATCACAATTTATAAATAACAAACTTAACGTTAAAATATTTAAAAAGTGTATCTAAAACATCTTGATTATTTTGCATTTTTTTAATCAATTATTGCTATTTTACAACATCGATAATAAATTTAAACAGTTTTAACGTGCAATATATTGTGCAAAATTCAATTCTAAAACCTTTTTTCCTCTTCAATATTCTTCCAAAATGCATAGGTTCCAAGATATAAGTATAAAACTCGGATAAAATAGGTATTTTTTAAATTTTTTTAAACACTGTAGAAAAGTGTGTGCCAACTGTATAACGCGACCTTTGAACCTGTGAAGTACTATCCCAACTTAATTATTATGTGTCGTGACACTACCATTTGCGTTTCGTCATTAATTTAGTTCAATGACCTGGCCAGCTTATACCAATGTGTTAAATACGGCTGTGATGCAAAACTGTAACAATGGCAACAGTTACTCCTGAAGAACATCGTGACATAATAATAGTGCTCTACAAGAAAAGTTTCAATACTTTGGGAACTCCTAATGATAAAACTACCTTCATATAACTCCGTTGCTTTTTAAGATACTCAATCGCAGAGTTCTACTTTAGACCAACACATCTTTTGAAGAATTTTGTTCAAAAAAACCTCAACTGTTTCAAATAGATCTGTGTACTGTTCCCACTGAATACTGTCAAAATCGCTCCAAACTGCAACCGACACCGATTAAGGCTAAATAGTAAAACATAAGATTGTACCTGGATTGGCCTCCCTGTAAGATGCGACGCCATACGCATCGATGAGGTTTTGGAAACCTCTAGTGAACTTATTGGTTCGGTTAAACGTAGGAGGATCCTCGTTGGTATTAATAACATTTAAGAATGATGGAATGGAGCTACCGCATGCACTCTATCAAAAATAAAAATAAAAATCACCTAAGCGTTAGAGTTATGGATCACGTAAACAAAATCATGCTTGTGGCGGTGGAAAAATCAACTGGTACTTACGGAACCGTCGGCGAGGGCCTTTTGGACAGTGGCGATATCGTTACAGGGCACCCAACACTCCCCGATCAGACACTTCTTGGTCACGTCCATGTTGAAGAAGTTCAGCGTGTGGTAGATCGCCTTCATCTTGCTCACCATGATGCTCCAGTTCTGCAGTTCCTTGGCCACGCTCACGAGCACCCTTTGACGGTGGTCTTTGGTTTGGTTGAGGACCTAGAAAAAGTTTTCCTTCATCCTCTCTTTTATAGGGTCGCCAGAAGCGCTTACCAAGTTCAAGTCTTCTAAGCGAGTGCGAACGCCTTTAAGCATATCGTTTCTCTCCCCGAGAGTACTGGGACAGGGGTAGAGGGACGCGTGGAAACCGGCGCACACTTTTTTTATCCTGGTCTTCAACTGCTCTCCTTGGAAGAACGCGACAAATACTGTTTTGTGAATTTCGTTACCCTGGAAAAGATGGTGACGATGTTGATCCAACCCAAAGCATATTTCTGTCTACTATAAAAACTTACAGTGGCTGGATCTTCCAAAGGCCTCTCGATCTCAGACTGCCTCAAGAAGACGTTGCCCCTGGAAATACGCCACAACATCCTCTCGAAACCGGGCACTCTCTCTCTGCTAATAACCCCCGCGACGAATCCCAGATGACCCCTGATGGAGACATTCTGGGACTCTTCCGGAATCAGCGCTTTGTGTGTGGTGTCGAGACCATTGGCCTCGTCTTGCTCGTTGAAGAACGCTTGCGTTTTCTCTAGCACGTGCCTCAGTTCTGACAACTCCAGGAAGTTGGATTTTAAGTTGACGGCGCTCTCGCTGAGCTCTTTGATGTCGCCCTCGGTTTTTTCGAGGTGCGCCTGCAAAGAACAGTAGTAATGGAGAAATTATTGATGATTTTTTTATCTTTACTGTAGTTGTAACCAGTTCATCTGCGTCAAACACCATAAAATATATTTGCGTAGATTTAAAAGCGCTACGTGTGTTTTTTTACTCTTATTTTTCAACACCTCGTATATTTACATTTATACACAACATGAAAAAGAGTAAACATTTACCTAATCCAATCTTAGGGCAATTACTTACTTATTACGCTGTAGTTTTAAAACATCCCGTATGTTCTCAAAGACATAAATTAAACCGTTTCGGTTTTTTCCAAAGGAAGCAATTTTCAAGTATTAGTATTACTTAACTTTCGATTGCATAATCTGAATTCCTCATAATATGCCGAACAAAAATTATGGTAGCTACATGAAGTCCGATTTATTATCTGATTCCGCTTATAATAATTAATATCCACCTCGCAATATGTTAATGTATTTTTTTTATTTTTTACGCATGAACTCCAACATTGTACTAACCATAATTACTCGAATGATATATACCACGCTAAGTTTGATAAAAAATGTCAGGTAAAGTAATTCATGCAATTAGAACTATCGCAATATTGTTAATGTATGAAATAATTTCTATTATTTCAGTTATCTTTTTGTTTTTAATTTTTTTACGCAAAATGACTCATGTCGTAATACTTCAATTACCTCCCAAATCTTTATATTACAGGTGCGTTGCGCTAACGCAATGTATGAAATGGTACCACAATTTTTTTACTTTCGGGTCAATTTGGAGCACGAGGTCAATGTTCTATTCTACCTTGATTCGCACGATGTTGAGTGTTTTGATCGCAAAGTAGGTATGTTAAGGACTGGTTATTAACTAAATTCCGGTCAAAGGTATTTAAAGAATATACAAATTATTGTCCAAAATATTGGATTCGGTTAAAATGTTATAACCAGTGCGTCCAATTTTTATTGTTAACACGAGGGGCTTGTAGTTGAAGTAAACACGGATGAGCGGATGAAGAATGAGAAATTCATTGCAAGTACGGAGAGTGTGTAGTTGAGACTGTGCGCAAATTAAGTGATATTTTCGGAGAAGGAAAATAGCGCACATTTCAAATCCTGCTTTACGTTTAGAACACCTTATAGTTTCATCATCATTCGATCAATTATTACAGAACTAATAAAACAATGCATAACATCAAATTCTATTTGATTTTCTCTGTTTATTTTGCTGCATAAACAAGTAATTATTATTCTCAGATGTTTATTACAAATTAAGAAGCGACATAAATAGAATGGTATGCTCATTACTAAATTTCTCGAAAATGATTCATTAAGTAAATGTTATACATTAGTAGAAATGGCTTCAAATGTCATAATTTTTAAGCAAACAAGTTGTAGCAGAAAACCGATATTCAACTCTCAACTTCAAGAGCTCTACTCTACTCTACAGGGTAGGTAAAGAAAATTGCATATGAACTTAACGACGTAATTTTTGCAAGGCCTACCCAACTCATTAGAGAAATGGTAGGCTACTAGTTTTTAAATTATTTAAAAAAATTAAAAATATTTCTTGAACACCTTGTATCTTTGTAACGAAGCGTCCTAGATAAAAACTTTATGGGAAAGACTACCCTTAAAATTCACCAAAGAATACGAGGTTTCATTTTTGGTCACCATTTGTGAATCACCCTGTATAGTCTACTGTTTCACTGTAAAATGGCAAAACTGTATTCATTGTGCTTTCCCTATATTGCACGCAATAAGGGCGACAGAAATGAATCACACCAAAAGTGCGTGTCAGTCATATCTCGTCAAGGTCAACAACCTACCGAAAATGATTATGATTCAACCTATTCCACGAACTTCACATTAAATGGTCCTTTAATCTAACAATATAAACATTTTTTTTATTGTAGAAATACTTTTCGGTTTTTAATGTACGTAAAATGCCTCCTGTGAAAATTTAAAAAAGATTCACTAGTTGAAATTAACTAACAACGACATTGACACAAAAGTTCAATCAAACTATTGATGAATACCGCAGGGAAAAGTGTCTGAATATGGCAAGAAGACAAGGACCAATATTGTACAAAATTAATAATAAAGTTTAAAATTAAGTTCGGTTATTTTTTGAGCAGACCCCGTATACCTAAAACAGACAAGTTGACCAAAACTACGATTTAAAGGCTCATTTAATTGGACTATCACGTTTCGTACAATATATTTATTTCTTTACATAAAGTCGTTATTTTGCTATAAAATAACATTGACTATTTAACTTCTCTAACATTACAACATTTAATCACTTTTACGTCCGTTTTATTGGGCGTTACCGCCATAGGGCGTCGATAATACTAAACAATAGACATAAAAATGTACCCCCGCTGGTTACAGCCACTTAGTTGTGACAAAGAAACAATTTGATCGATTGACAGCCCTTACTCACCTCTAAATCGATAATTTCACGTGGATTTGGAGCTTTCGGAAGTTCGCTGACGTCCGGTATGTTCACAGAATCTTTCCTGACTTCAGCTTCGATATACCTCAATTTTCTCTCCATTTCGTCGCATCTTCGCACCTCGTTGACGAACTTTCTTTGGAAGGCGTTTACATTCTCGTTCAACTGGAAATGAGAGAGAATTTATTAAAAGATGGGGAGAGGGAGGCTTCTTAGTAGTGTCACATACGGCAAAAATGGCTTCTTTGTCATAACCTCAAATATTGCGATATTCTGTACAATTTCAACTGTGACAATTTGTTGCGGGTTGCCTAAATATATGACGTCACACTAAAAGAGTCTTGTACAAACATTTTTTCGACTGTTTGGTATTTCTCCTTTAGAGTGGTCTTAAAACAGTGAAATGCGAATAAAAATAATTATACTATTCATTCTATTGATCACAATGGTGACAATAAAAAGTAGAAATGGTGTTCAGTTACTAATGGGCTAAGTTTCAGCAATAAAATATGAAAGTCAAAGCGGGTAGTTCAAATAAAATTTTGTTGAAAAATGCTTCGTTACCGAAGATGCCTTTCTAATTTGGACCTTCATCATCGGGTACAATTTCGTGTAAATACAAAAACAGCGGCTGCAAACTTAATTTTCAGTGCCCTTTTCGCCATTTGTTGTTACGCCACTGCGTAAATACAGAAATAACAAGACATTGTTTGAATTTATTTTTTTGTGGCATAATTCTAGTGTTTTGTTCATTTAATTTTCACGTTGAAGTAAGTTATTTTTGTGCAACGTCGCGACATAAGGTTTTTTATGAATTTTAAGAAAAAATATACAAAACCCCAAAGGGAATATTCAACCTAAAAAGTTATTACGTGTTGCTTGATAAAAATTTAAATGTACAGCACTTTCAGCATTAATTTAAACTGAATATTTGGTTCGGCGTGATTGACGATCATATTTTGGGACTACTTAAACTTCCGAAAACTTTAATTGACCAAGACTATCTCCTAGTCACTACTCCTTAATAGTATGAATTTATAATTTCCTCATATATGTATTGGAAAACGCAGTGAAAGTCTTTAGCCTCCAGGAAGTCCATATCTAAATCCCCTAGACTTTTTTTCTGATTTTTTTCGTTATTTATACTGTTGCAACTATCAACAATAGAGCCAAACTATGACACGGAATAGATGAAGTTGCAAATGCTATTAAAAACCTTTATCCGCTGTTTTTTTTTTGCAGTTAAGAGAAATTTCTTGAAATGATGCCGAAGATTTATCCAGTTAAACTGTGGACATTTCGAAAATAATATTAATCATAATTAAATGAAGTTTTTATTATGTTTTAAGCGAATATTTTATTTATCAATCAGTTTAGTTATAGTTATTAGGACATCTTAATTGGATTTTTAATTATTGCACAAAAAATGTAAATTAGATAACTGAGGCGCTTTGCTGGCGGAAAGTTATTGATCAAATTCCGCTGCATTTATACTTTTTTATTACATTTTTCTGTATGCACTAACTGTACTACCTTTCTGACTTTAAACTAACAAACGCTATAGTTCACAACAATGATACACCATTCCTACGACTACACAAGATTCAATTTCATTTTTGTTTAATCTTTTGTAGATATTTATTATGTTACCTCACTTTATATTGTCAATTTTCCAATCTCTACTTACATCTCTAAATTGTACACATCCAGATTCCCCTAGTTCCGATATCGCAAAATAAGCTGCCTCTGGTTGTATGAAGAGTTGGGCCAAAGCCATCTCTTCGCTCCTGAACATACTCCCCATGTTGAGGAAACGTTTTCAACTACTTCTAAAACAAAAAAAAAAATATTCCATACAATTATGTCACTCACGACGATCTAGTAACAATAATAAAAGTATCAACTGAATGACTTCACCAAATGAAACTATTTCTCTAATCATCAAGTCATTATACTGTCTATAATTAAAAAAAAATAATTTATAGTACGACTGTAAAGCAATAGCATCAAAAATAACGTTTATGGATTAAGCAGTATTATGTGATAGCTGTTTAATCTGTGATTATCTGATTCAATAATTCTAGATGTAAAGTAATCCAGGTTATTCGCTTATAGCAGATTAAGAAATAGCACAAATAAAGTCGAATAAGTACAGGAATTTACCGACATCGTCGCCGGAAAAAAAATTAAATCCTAGATTTAAAACTTGGGCACGTGTTTGAAGGACAACAGAGCATTAAAATTGTTTCCTGTCGTCTTTAGTTTTCGAGATACAGGTTGTGATAAAATAAAATCAATTTTGCCAATACCTCCAAAAGTATTCATCATATCGTATTGACATTTGATAAACGGATGTTTTGAGACAGAGCACCGTTTTGAGAGGTCTTGCTTGTATTAGCTCTTAAAAAACATCATGTATGTAAGTCAACCTATACATCACAGATGAAAACTATGTTAATTTTTAATCCTCATAATTTATGATTCTTTTTTGTGAAACACTCCGTACATTACAACGCCGAAATGCACTTTATAGGGGACGGATGTAGGCTTCTAAAAAATAACGATGTCGAACAGAATATATTTTGCTTCGCACAAAGCACATTTTTTTATTTTATAACGAATAACAGTGCTCACATTTAAAATACACAATCTATAAATTGCAAAAATTATAAATAATGTCTATAGCCTAACAGGTAACAGAAAATTTATTGCGCTACCTTAACTAAACATATAAAAGAAAAACAAATAATGGAAGTTTGTTTTTATATGATAAATATTTTAAATTTTCCTTGAACGCAGTAAGGTGTGTTTTGATCCATTTGAATTACATGTTAGAGCTTACAATTAGAGCTACGACGAGAGGAAGTTTTATATCACTTTTTATAGCACTTGTCTCATTTCTTTTACACATTCCTTTCCTATTCTAGATATTATCATAAATAATAAACGTAAACGATTTTTTTTTCATTTCTTAAATCTGCTGTTTCCCTTGTACCTAATTATCAATCTTCTAGGATATAATGTGACAAGATAGTATTATATGTAGGTATTTATTCTATCAATCTGATTGTGGTAAATCCCGATTCAAATCAGTTCCTATCTTTCTAGGTGCCTAATATAAGAGAAATGGTGCAACAAGATTATGTGAACATATAACAACTTTAACACGAACGACATGTATTGTTCTTTTCTCTTTTTTAATCTAAAAATGCCTACAAATTTTGGAAATTTCACGAAAAATTTGAAATCGTATTCGCAAAATAGATATCTTACATTTTTATTTTATTTTGTTGTTGTTGTTGTACTCCACTAACTAAATTTGTTGTTTTTCCTGTTACAGTTTCATTAACATAAAACATTAAATAACATTTTACATTGTATGTGTTAAAAGGATTTTTTGTTTTACTCGAAAATTGAAAGAGAGCTATTTTCTTCCAAATTGAATGAAAAATCCAAAACTGATTTTTATTTTACGTAAAAGCAGAGGCGTACCAATTTTTTCTTCAGAAATATCCAGTAATGTGCTAGTGCGGACGCCACTGGCAAAACCAAAAATAATGTTTTTCATTGCAAATCGTGCTCTCTCGATGGTAGTTAACGTCTACAAAATTTCACTGAAATATCTTTAGCCGTTTGACAACAATTAATAAATTTGATTTTTTTAAACCAATCTTGAACACCTTGTATTTCCTTTCTGAATCTCTATCGGTCCCTGAACTTTCCGCATCGGAAACTGGATCACCCTGTAGAGTACAGTAAATAATAGTAAAAGTGTAGTAATAATCAAATTCTGAGGAAAAAATTCCTTGTAACAATATAATCTCTCATTTATGGTGCGTTATATAAACATGATATATTTTATCAACTTTGCACCCTGGATTTGGTTTATTAATCGGAAATGTAGGTACTCAAATGTAGCATCAGTGTTCATTAGTAAAATAAAGTTTTATTTCACAGTTTTACAAGTTTAACAAATTTTAGATTTACATACTTTATATGTATATATATATACAAATTTCAAAATTCCATGTTATTGAACAAAAATAGTATAATCGAAATACTAATCAAAAATTTCAAGAACCAGGTCGTTGCGGGCCCATGTCCATATTAACAATTGATCTTATAAATTCGTCAAAGATTCACCCTTTAAAGTTTGTGCAAGTACTTAATAAACACCCTGTATTTGTCATACCTGACAGTACATTTAATAGTTTTAAATGACAAAGAACACCTCATCTTGGATCTGTTCTGTGTGCAAATAAATATACAGGGTGATCCACAAATGATGACCAAAAATGAAACCTCGTATTCTTTAATGAATTTTAAGAGCTGCCTTTCCTATAAAGTTTTTATCCAGGACGCTTCGTTAAAAAGATACAGGGTGTTAAACTTCTTTCTTCTAACTACTCAGAATGTCAAAGTTGCTAAGTTTTACTCGAAAATCAGGCTTTTTTCGAAAAACATAAGAGAGTAATTTGTAGAAAATTGAAAGACGAATACGAAAACATCTTGGTTACCGTAAAGCAGAGGAGTACTATTTTATTTAGAAAAATATGTCACCGATACCCTGTATCTCCGCCACTGGAACATGTAAATTTTAGGAAGAGCCCTCAGATTTTGGACAATGTTTACATAAATACATGGGCCCAATTTCAAATTATTTCACTTACTAGTTTTTAAATTATATAAAAAAATTAAAAATATTTTTTGAAATTTAACACCCTGTATATTTTTAACGGAGCGTCCTAGATAAAAACTTTATAGGAAAGACTTCCTTAAAATTCACCACAGAATACGAGGTTTCATTTTTGGTCACAATTTGTGAATCACCCTGAGTGTATATGTCACAAATAAGCTTAAGAAACAATTTTTGAACATCTTTAAACGAATCTATTGTTAAATATTTTCACGAAATATCTTAAGTAGAAAAACAATTACAATCGCTCTGAATACAATGGATTTTCAAAGATAAAGAAATAGTCAAGTAGGTACTCTCAAGAACTAGGACACGATTGTGTTTACAAATATCTTGGAAATATCTTTAGACATACGTTAAAATAGACTTAAATATGCGGAAGGTTCCCTTCAAACAGTCACCTGACAATTTTTTGATGATACATCTTCAAATACAAACCGAAATATTTATTACTCAACATTCTCCGGAGGTACAACACCAACAATCACAAACCGAAGGGACTCAGTTACTTAAACCCGACGTTTCAAAATAAAAAAAAAATCGTACCTTATAAAAAAAGAGAACCTGCTCCACCGATCTGTCTTATATCGCACCGTACACTGGTCTAGCTCCGGCTTGTGACTTAACTGGAAATAAGTCGTCACATGATTTTCATAATTGTGTACTTACGACGTACGAAATCAGTACAGCGGTGATAAGAGGTAGTCGAGAGAACAGTGTGCCTAGCACCATTGCTAATTAGTTTTTTGAGTAGCTTTATCTGGGCGCGATCAATTAATCTCCCATATTTTTTGTGGTTTCGCGGGGGTCTCAATAAAACTTCAAGTCTCGTTCATCCCAACGAAGTGTAAGACAAATTTTCAGATAAGGAAAATCTGTTCGCGACGACAGCATCACAAAAGTTGAACGGTTAATACCAGCGGCAATTTACTATGGAAATTTTCAGCAGCAGAGGCCTCTGCACCAGCAGCCACTGATATTAACCAAATTCAAAAACTCTGAAACTACTAAACTAATGCAAAAAATTAAAGGATCAAAAGAATTTCCGCAATTTTTCCGTGATTTTTGACAGACTGTATTTAGGTGAAAAATGGTCGTATCGGGAATTAAAAACGAGCATTTTGAAGCTCTAAGATTCTAGTTTTTAGATCTTTCAGTCGAATTTTTTTACGATTCGGATTTTATCATATAATTCTGAGAATAGCACGACAAAAACTTTAAAAAATTTTTTTTTTGAGCCTACGGACTTGGAAAACATTTTTTCAGCTAAGCCATTGCATCAACCAGATAGTTTGTTTATTTAGCTTCAATTTCCTTTTTTTTAAATGTTGATATGACCATTTTTCATCGAAATATCGGAATTTTAATGGAAAAGAATCCTTCTGTCTTCAATCTTCGATATCTCGGCAACAAATGATTGTACAGAGAATTGAAGGGCAGTTTCGAAAACTGAAATATATTTCCTATAACACGCTGCCGCAACTTTGAGGAAAAAAAATGTTTTTCATCTTTTACACGAATTTAAAAAAGACAGGAAAAAAAATGTATGGTTTTTTAGAAAATTGACGAGTAAATTAGAAATATTTCCGAAATGACTAATGTTAAGCATGAATTTTACAGTTCGATATACCCAGAAGAACCCTGTGAAGTTTCATCTCGATATAGTGAACCGTTTCTTTGTTTTAAACAGTAAAACTTTTGTAAAACATGAAAGGGTTACGTTTTTTGAGCTTAAACACTTCATAATCATGATTGAAATGGAAAAAAAACATTTTTTTGAGGTTTTCTCACATTTTTAGCGCAAATAACGTTTCAATTGAAGCAAAAAAAAGTTTTGATTTTTTTTTTTTCAAGGAAAAAAGATAGTTTTGAAATAAACCGTTTTTTAAGTGATTACTGCACAAAAGTTTGTCTCAAAAAACAGCATGAATCGGGGTCGAAATCTGGTTTGGGTCATCAATTTTAATTTAATTAAAAGTTGATGAACAGAAGCATAGGACGGAAAAGCCAAATGGTGCTGGAAACAATTGGATTTTATTTTCTTCAATGTCCGGAAGGTTTTCTAATAAAAAACAAAAAAAAAATTTTCGAAATTTTTTTTTTATCAATTTAAACGTCATTTGTGGTAAAAATGCAAAAAAAAAACAAAAATATATATTTTTCCATTTTAATCATGATTATGAAGTGTTTAAGCTCAAAAAACGTTACCATTTTTCACCTAAATACAGTCTGTCGGAATTTCGGAAATTCCTTTGACCCTTTAATTTTTTGCATTAGTTTATATCAAGCTTACAAGATTTACCTACTTGTTTCTGAAAACCATGAAAGCCAAATATTTTTGTGAAACTAACATTAGCAACATGACTGTTATTTGACGTATCATTAAACAAATTTTAAGTTGAATTATGTAAAATTACCCAGACCACTTTTTCTTGCCATATAACTTTCGTTAGATTAATAATATGTAAATTATCAAATCGATTTCAGTAACGGTTTCATAGTCCAGATGCTGTCAACCTGATGTATTTATGATTTTTTTATAAATATTTTGCCGTCAAACTGATTTATCTCAAGCCAGAAGGTTAATTGGTAAGGAATAAATAATCTACGTAGTACCTCGCTGGTAGATGTTCGTAGATCGCTTTCTTTACAGTAACATTCCGCTGTGTAGAAACTCGCATAATTTTTATGCCTTTTCCTTCACAGAATCAGAATAAAAATCATATACACATAATATTATAGAAAATATTTGAATGTTTCATAAAATCATTTCTTGAACAGGATACTTTCTGTTATTGCGACAGACATAAACAAATCCAGCTTAAGGTTCGTCAACAGTATGATATTTGCTTTAGTCTGTGACAATGTATGAGCAGTAACAAGCAATCTACTGACTTTAATTTATTAGTACCTATTTTACGTTAATATAATATTTTAAGCTTCACCTACGCTGACATTTTTATAAACTAAAGCGTTTATTATCGCATTCGCATACAGTATTTTAATATTTGAGCAACCCTGGTCAACTATCAGTTTTTAGCCAATGCTATCACAACCTTGCTAGTATTTCAAGGATCTCATTAATTATGAATATATTTCACGAAATATTACCTTGTATTCAATACCAAGTGTCCTCCAGTACTCCATGAAAATAAAGAAACTACAGTACTGTCCCAAATATCACCCTATCATCTGTAAAAGTCTATAGGCAAACACTATCCGTATAATTCCCAACCCTGCCTCCAACAAATTAGATGGAACCATTAGAAAAAGAACGAAGTACGTTTTGCTTTAACTTAACACAGCTAATAAACCAAAATATTCGCAAGACGCTGACAAGCAATTTGGGCCAAAGGTCAATTTAATCAGTTAAAACGTGGGAGCGTCTGAATCATTATTCCTCCTCAGCAAGATATGACACCTGAATTAAAGTCGTAACATGTGAGCAATGTTAAAAGAACGTAAAAGAGTCGAAAGCTTTCTATTTCATATATAATTATTTATCTACTAGTATTCTATCTATTAATTACACTAATAGGTCTTGAAATGCAAAAATATATTTAATGTGTCGTAGCTGAGCAAACGTAGATCAGAAAGGAACAAATTTAAATACGAGGCATATCCACAAAGTAAGAGTATTAATTTTTTTTTAATTTATGACAAATTTACATATTCAGAAAGGTACATTGAGCACTATTTCTCGACGTAGTCACTTTGAACCTCAATGCAGTCAAGGAATTCTTCAACTGGAGTTATTCGGAATAGAGTAACTTATTTCAACACGCCACTACAACAACATATTTCTTAACTGCAGGGTAATTCAAAACATTGTTAAAAAATGTGAAAATGTGATGTCTATTATAGGTGTCAATGTTTTCTGTTTTTAGAAATTATCTAGCACAATTTATGTTAAGAATTCGAAGCAGAGGAAATAATGGAAACGTTTACCAACTCATTAAAATATTTATATTGATAACGTATAATAGCTCAAGGAAATTAGACGAAAAAAGGAGGAAACCTCGATAAAATTCCCTCCAAGCTGAATTTTTGCAGTACTTGCGGTGTCGCAAACCCAAATCCGCAAAAATCGCAACATGGCTGCCCAAGACGTTGAGGGTCAAAGTTTTTTGCAAATATCTAGCGTTCTATGCATCGGACATCCACAAGGTCATTGCGAAAGTTGTAGAGAATTTAATTATCTACAAGACTGGACCTTTTCGAGATGTTCAAGGTCAAAGTTTCAAAAACAAGGTTTTTCGCGAATATCTGGCGCTCAATGCATTGGACGTCATGGAATAGAAAAAATATTATGTATGAGATTGATCTCGCATTTTTTCCAAAACTTCTTCCTTCTCGAGATGTCAGATTGATGATCTCTCGACTAATTTGAATTATTTCAAAAACATTTTTTAGAAACTGTAAATTTATCATTCCATTTTTGCAGATAATTAAATTCTGTACAACTTTTACAATGACATCATGGACGTCCGATGCATAGGAAGCGTGATAGTCTCGTCTTTAGAACTTTGACCTTGAATATCTCGAAAAGGGCGAGGTTTTGGGAAAAAAAGCAGATCAATTTTGTAGATAACTGAATTCTCTACAAATTTTATCGCTGTCTAATGCATTGGGCGCGAGATATTCGCGAGAAATCTTGTTTTTTAAGCTTTGACCTTGAATATCTTATCTGAATTTTTGCGGAATTTAGCTTGAAGGGAATTTTGTCGAGGATCAAATGTTATTTCCCTTACTTTTGCAGTAGGTATACAAGTTTATCTTTCTAACTAATTACGACTGACATCATATCACTAAATATATCATGCAATCCCAAAATGTTGATATCTTTGATGACCTTAATAAAGGAATTATTAAATTGGTTAATAAAGAATACAGAAATAAAAATACACATCAGGTGGTGTTCTCGCCATAATAACTTTATAGTAGGTCAAAAATAAACCGTAACTATTTAGGTAAATATTTATTTTTAAAGAAATATTATTCTATTTATGAACACTTTTGTATACTCTGATACTATGATTTATTAAGTAACAGACCTTGAAAATTTTTTAGGTCTGGGATGCCTACAATCAATATATTTTTTCAAATTATGTATACAGGGTGACTTAATTGCAGCTGCTATAGTTTTTCTAACACCCTTAAACACCCTTTCCTCGAGTTTTATCAACCAGTAGCTCTCCGCAATTTTTTTTAATGTAAAATTTTACAATAAGGTGACTGTGAAAAGGTAACAGTGACTTCGATACCCTTACTTTGCCATTTTCAAGTCCTTTCAAGGCATACTAATTTGTTTAACTCAAATTCCTTTCATTTTGGAAAATTTTAGGCCTCATAAACAATTGCGAAGAGCAATAAATTAATGATAATTTTAATAAGACTGAAAAATTTCCCCTTTAACAAACCTAGAGTTGATACGAGCCACCTTATAGAGGTAACAACGAGGTAAACATATGTAACCGAGATAAGCATCATTAAAAAAATATTTACCATCGTAAATGGGATAATATTTTCGTCACATACTTTTATTCTTTAACTAATGCTACCTAAACATGTACGTTCAAGGTGTTTACTTAATACTTATTAGTTTCTTTGAACATTCTTAATTTTTAGACAAATTTAATTTAAACGATTTTCAAGGTATGTATATCTAATTCACAGAATAACTCATCG